CATTCAACACTTTTGTGATAATTTATTATACAATGAAGCAGAACTCAGAAGATATGTTTCTTCATTATCAGTTACTGGGTAACTTTCCCAACATTTCACCCTTTATAAAGGATGTCCCAGAGTCTTATTTTCACATTCGAAATACGCCCTGATAGTCTCTAGTGAATTTCTAGAAAATACTCTAGATGCATCAACCATCAGTACCAACCCAGCTAACACAGACTGGCTTCGATTCGATCTAGCTTCGGCTCATCTTACCTGACGGCGAAATTGGCATAAAGCCTTTGCCATTTTTAAAAGTCAGTTACATGACCCAAAGTTCTTTGAGAAATCCTAAAACTGCTGCTGAAATTTCAATGAGGTAACCTCGAAATCATTTCTAATATATAGGATGAGTATTCAACCATTGCTCAGAATTGAGTGAAACAGGTGAAAATAATACCGGGTGACCGGTTATATTCTGGCCCATTTCAACTGCTCATATCTCCGAAGCTATTCAAATTATCGTTGTGCGGTTTGGACTTCTCTATTTTGATATTCTTCAAGTTTTTTGACTGGTTCACCTTCTCACCTGAACTTCCGGTTCTACCGGAAACAAACAAGCCTTTATACAGGTATAGGGCAACTTTGATAACATTGCATAATCTCATTAAAACATTCCACAAGCAGTAGTTGTTTCAAAGAGTTATAACTCTAATAGTTTTCTAGGAGAACATAACTTGTAATACATTGTCAGATAGAGAAAAGACCAGTCTTTCTGAATGTGCAAAAATATACAGGGTGATTCAATGAAATAAAAAAGTTGCCCTATACCTGGATTATTGCTTGTTTGTTTCCGGTAGAACCGGAAGTTCAAGTGAGAAGATGAACACGTCAAAAAGAACTTGAAAAACATCAAAATAGACTAGTCCAAACCGCACAACGATAACTTAAATGGTTTCAGAGATATGAGCATTTGAAATGGGTCAGAATATAACTGGTCACCCGGTACCTACTGCCCCTACTGGAACTAGGAATTTTCCCCTAAGTCGGAACTGGGATAATTGCCCTGGAAGGTAGACATCAGAATAGTTTTATTTGATGACTTCTCAGCTGCCATATTGATTCGATTGAGATGACTCTTTTGATAATTTATCATTCAAGGGAGCAGAAGATGTTTTTTCATTATCAATTAGTGGGTAACTTTCCCAACATTTTACCCTATATAAAGAATATCATAGAGAGTCACATTTTGACCTCCAAAATACGCCCTGATAGTCTCTAGTGAATTTCTAGAAAATACTCTAGATGCAGGAACCATCAGTACCAACCCAGCTAACACAGACCTGGCTTTGATTCGATCTAGCTTTGGCTCATCTTAACTGACGCCAAAATTGGCATAAAGCCTTCGCCATTTTTTAAAGTCAGTAACATGACCCAAAGTTCTTTGAGAAATCCCAAAACTGCGCTGAATAGATTCTGCTGAAATTTCATTGAGGTAACCTCGAAATCATTTCTAATATATATGGTGAGTATTCAACCATTGCTCAGAATTGAGTGGACACAGGTGAAGATAATACCTACTGGAACTAGGAATTTTTCCTCAAGTTGGAACTGGGATAATTGCCCTGGAAGGTAGACATCAAAAGAGTTTTATTTGATGACTTCTCAGCTGCCATATTGCGATTGAGATTATTGTCGAATGTATATTGTGTCAGCATACATATTATCAAACAGGGTGTATCTGAATAACACTGAAAAATTTCAAGGGATGATTCCTTGTGATATATTGGGAAATCACGAATTTGAGAATTAACATCTTATATAACATTGAATATGAAACAATAAAAACGCATCATCAGTTCAACACTTTTGTGATAATTTATCATTCAATGGAGCAGAAGATGTTTTTTCATTAGCAATTAGTGGTTAACTTTCCCAACATTTTACCCTATATAAAGTATGTCATAGAGAGTCACAAAGTTCTTTGAGAAATCCTAAAACTGCGCTGAATAGGTTCTGCTAAAATTTCAATGAGGTAACCTCGAAGTAATTTCTAATACACAGGGTGAGTATCAATAATTCCTCCGAATTGAGTGAAAATGGTGAAAATAATACCTACTGGAAATAGGAATTTTCCTCTAAGTTGGAACTGGGATAATTGCCCTGGAAGGTAGACATCAGAATAGTTTTATTTGATGACTTCTCAGCTGCCATATTGATTCGATTGGAAATATGGTCGAATGTATATTGTGTTAGCATACATATTATCAAACAGGGTGTATCTGAATAACACTGAAAACTTTCGATGGATGATTCCTTGTGATATATTGGGAAAACAATTTGAGAATTTACATATGAAACAATAAAAACGCATCATCAGTTCAACACTTTTGTGATAATTTATCATTCAATGGAGCAGAAGATGTTTTTTCATTATCAACTAGTGGGTAACTTTCCCAACATTTTACCCTATATAAAGGATGTTATAGAGAGTCACATTTTGACCTCCAAAATACGCCCTGATAATCTCTAGTGAATTTCTAGAAATACTCTAGATGCAGGAACCATCAGTACCAACTTAGTTAACACAGACTGGCTTCGATTCAATCTAGCTTCGGCTCATCTTCGCCAAAATTGACCTAAAGCCTTCGCCATTTTTTAAAGTCAGTTACATGACCCAAAGTTCTTTGAGAAATCCTAAAACTGCGCTGAATAGGTTCTGCTGAAATTTCAATGAGGTAACCTCGAAGTAATTTCTAATACACAGGGTGAGTATCAATAATTGCTCAGAATTGAGTGAAATTTTCCCCCAAGTTGGATCTGGGATGATTAGCCCTGGAAGGTGTTTTTATTCATTTCTCAATCATCTTTTCTTCAATTCCAATAAAACGTTGTGATTTGTTGATAGTAATATGGACCTACTTCTAGTGCAATTAGCTTGACATCAGAGTAGTTTTATTTGATGACTTCTCAGCAGTCATATTGATTCGATTGAGATTCTGGTGGAATGTATATTGTGTTAGCATACATATTATTATACAGGGTATATCTGAAAAACACCGAATAACTTCATGGGATGATTTTTAGGATAAGAAGTTTATATAAACATGTGTCCTAACTTGCTTCGTTTTCGAGATACAGGGTATTAATATTTCCATGAAAAATCTTGTTTTTATTCATTTCTCAATCATCTTTTCTTCAATTCCAATAAAACGTTGTGATTTGTTGATAGTAATATGGACCTACTTCTAGTGCAATTAGCTTGACATCAGAGTAGTTTTATTTGATGACTTCTCAGCAGCCATATTGATTCGATTGAGATTCTGGTGGAATGTATATATTGTGTTAGTATACATATTCTTATACAGGGTATAACTGAATAACACCGAATGATTTCAAGGGATGATTTTTAGGATATGAAGTTTACATAAACATGTGTCCTAACTTGCTTCGTTTTCGAGATACAGGGTATTAATATTGCCATGAAAAATCTTGTTTCTATTCATTTCTCATTCATATTTTCTTCAATTCCAATGAAACTTTGTGATTTGTTGATAGTAACATGGAGCTACTTCTAGTGCAATCAGATTCGAAATAATATTTCCAGTGGGTAAGTTTTTCGATATTCATGGCGAATGTCATTGTACACCACCGGTTTTTCTGAGTTTCATCTCTTTATTAGATTGAACTATTGAAATGACAACTTTTTTATCCTTTGTGTGATTTTTGTATCTAGCTTAGTTTTTGAGGAAACAATAAACAATTGATTTGACTCCAAATTTTGATGTAGGTGTATTCAAGACTTTCATTGAGATTACTCAATAACCCCAATAAGAATCATTTCAAAATTTTTGGGTTTTCTCAGTCTCCGTCCATACTGAATTTTGGCACAATGAAAGCTTGTACAAGGGGGTTATGAATAAAAACAATTAATTCTTACAACTTCAACATCCTGTATCTCAGAAACGTTAAGACAAATGTTTATATTAACTTTATTTGCTAGAATGTCACAAGGATCGAACTTCTCTAATAGATCAGGAAAAAGCTAGATATCATTCATGATTTCAAAACTTCTCAACTGTTGATTTTGGAAGAAATTTAGTACTTCAATCAGAGGCCTCAAAAAGATAGGAGCAGAAAATGAACGCATTCACCAAAATTTTCAGTATTAATTTCATCAAATGTATAATAATTATAACTGACCCTGTCATAGTTTATCTGATGATTCATATACAAAGCTCAGACGTAGCACTTGGATTGTGCATACCTACATAGTAATGATAATAATAATAATTAAATAATTGAATAAGAATTGAAACCCTCGTTGAAACCGTGTGATACATGTTTGTATTGTTGAACAATTACTATATGAAGATAAATATTTTTTTTTTCTGTGACGGGAAAAAAGTTTGGCATTTCATCTCTGTTGGTAGGTTATAAAATGTCACTTTTCATAAATTACTTTTTTCCCGTGGGAAAAAAGTGAGTACTTTTTTCCCGGATATATATCACATATATATATATACTCTGTTAATGGCTTTTCTTGTGCTATAGTTCCGAAAAATGAGTCACTAATACCGTCTCCGAGAAAGAACTGCAAGTCCTTTTATCTTCCATTCGACTTCGCGGTTTCGTATATTACTAAACAACTACTGAATTCGCAATTTTTTAAAATCAAATCACAGAATTGAACTGACAGAAGTGACATCAGATATTTGATTACTTCGAAAGAATGATAAAGATGTATATAAAACGCAGGTGTCCCTACTGTTAAAAAATTTCACGTCGATAATTTTCAGATTTCGAAATAATGTAATATCTTCTCAATATTGATTCGTCCTTCCTTCTGTCACAGAAAAAAATAGTGTATTATACACGGGAAAAATATTAGATTTTAGCTCACGGTTTTTTGTCTCCCTCCGCTACGCGTCGGGAGACAACACAACCTGGAGCTAAAATCTACTACTTTTTTCCCTTGTATAATAAATAACTATTTTTTGGTCGATGATTTGCTTCAGCCAAGAGTTATCGGTTCAGCAACAGCTAAAGATGCCTTCGGCCCACAGCTGATTGATGAATCCCAAATGACAATACCTGGAACGCCAATTCCTTCTTTAGTACAAGAATCAGCAGAACATTTTTTCGATGCATCTCCACCAGTAACCCCCATCCAAAAGGAACAGGTCAGTATCCTTTTGATTCGAATTTTCACTTATAATATCACGAGAGCTTCAAAAATTCCCGGATATTAATTGAAGCTAAAGTGGTATTTGGTAAGAAAATTTACATGTTGATGGTTGTTTGTGATGAAATGTAAGAACTAACGTATAGAGTAGAGTGGAGTAGAGTTTTATTGACTACTTGATGTACATGAATGTAAAAAATGATGATTTACAATAAAAGACAAAAAATATACAATCAAAGACGAATAATATACAATCAAAAGCAAAAACAAAATACACATTTACGTTTCCCTCAAGAGTGGATGTATAAATATACATTGAATGTACTGATATTATTTTGTGATTCATGAATGAATCACGACACGAATCTCTGTAACCAAATCCAACAAGAATTCTCAGAGCCTTTTTTTGTAATATGAAAATACATTGGGCATCACTAGAATTTCCCCATGAGAAATATGAGATTGAATTAGTGAGCAAAAAACTATTTTTAATGTCGTGAAATTAGTTATAGGTTTTAGTTGTCGAAGTAAAAATAGAGCACTCGATAATTTACTTTTCAAACCTAAAATGTGGTTGGACCAATTTAACCTATTATGCAAGGTGAAACCCAATAACTTAACAGTTTGGAACTCAGGTTATGGCTGAGCCGTATATATCACCATGTTTTGTGATTTATCGTTATTCATCATAAGTTTATTAACACTAAGCCAATAGTTGGCTTTTCCTTGTATTTCAACAGATTGATCAGCAAGAGATGAAAGATTTTTTGAGGAGTAAATGAGAGATGTATCGTCAGCAAATAATACACTGTGACATGGTTTCATATAGTTGTAGAGATCATTAATATAAATCACAAACAACAGCGGACCCAATACCGATCCCTGAGGCACACCCAAGTTAATTGGTTTCAGCTCAGAAAGTTCATTGTTATAAAAAACTGCCTGGAAACGAGTATTCTAGTATTTTTTTTTTTTTTAGTTCTGAGGTCATTCCTCTAACACCATAATATGAAAGTTTTTCGAGTAATATGTTGTGGGAAACACAGTCAAGAGTCTTAGATAGGTCCAATAGTGTAACTTCAACAACGGTTTTTTGTCCAACACAATCTAAAGCTAAAATCTACTACTTTTTTCCCTTGTATAATAAATAAGTATTATTTTACCACAGATGTGCAAATATCAAGTTTAGGTTGGTTGGCGTTACATATATCGAAAACATATGACATAAATTTGAATCTTTTTGTATCCACCGATTGTCAGTGCCATTTCCAATTTCTTTTCAGTTCCTGGATATACAAAGTGGCCCTTTGAAAACGAAACAGAGGCTCTGTAGGTCGCCAAAATCGAATTATGAAAAAAATCTGAAAATTTCAAATTTAGGATTTTTTTGTGTCGAAACTATTCATCATTGGTCGAAGTTGAAAAATCTCGATTTTGAACACCCTATAGTTCTGTAATCATTGCCGCTAGATCTCAACTATGAGGCATTGATGAAATCAGCTCGTCGGGGAGAATCTAATAATGCAATGAAATACAGGGTGTTCCATTTGAAATAACAAAGTTGTTACTTTTCGTTAGAAGCGGCAACGTCGCAGAGCTTAGCATAATTTAGAACGATGTCCCGCTTGAAAATGTAGGTGATTTTTTTCATAATCCGGTTTTGGCGACCTACAGAGCCTCTGTTTTGTTATAAAAGGGTAACCCTGTATACTTGGTGTATTGTTATACGAGGTGATGCGTAATCTTGTACAATATTTCGGTAATATCTAAAGGAACACGTTTTGAAATGTATAGCTTGCAAACAATGGAAAACTTTTGCTTATTTCGATTGAAAGATCATGTTACTGAAAACGAATTTCTTCAAAGGTCTTCGACCTAGTACAGGGCGAGTTTAAGGCAATATATTCATAGGTAGTTTTTGCCATAACTATTTTGAAGGGTTTAACTAAAAATTTAGAGATCCTATTTCAGAACCACACTGTAGATTCTTTCACGATGTGTTGTAGCCCTATCGTGTTGAAAAACCAATCAAAGTGTAAGGCACACAAGGCAAAAGTTCATGCATGAATAGTTGGTTATTATTGAATATCGATATTAATTTCAATCTGATATCACAGGTTCTGGATCCAGAAAGTCTACTTTTTCGAGACGGTCGAAGAAAAATAGATATGGTACTTGTATACGAAGAAGAAGAACTAGGGGTGATGACAGAAGCAGAAGCAAAAAGAAGGGACAAGAGAAAAACGTTTCAGGTAGGTATAGATATTCCAGGTTCCATCGTATATGCATTTAAAAAAAAAATACATATTTGATTTCATGCATTAACCGAACTGAACTGAATAATTGAAATCGAGTCATGAAAATCCATTAATTTTTTTTATAAAACGTCTGTGAAAATTTATACCCAGATAGGCTAATTGATGATTATGATAGAATGTTTCGGGACCAAGCTATCATTAATCACGTACTTTTTATGCGTCACATATTTAGGTGATTTCATTATAGGTGGATAATATAATTCTTGTTCTCCAATAATGCTGGAAATTATTCAATGGTCTTTGAATTATACAGTAGGTTGTTTGTGACGAAAAGAGTTGAAGTTGTGTGAAATTTATTTTTTTTTGGATCAATCTGGCACCTATTTGAATTAGCGAGTGTTATTCAAGTATGAGGCAAAAAGGGGTGATTTTTTGGGTGATTCTAAGATGAAAAGTTCGTATGAACATTGGTCCGGAAATACAAAATTTTCAAAATATAGGGTGTCAATCTTCTTTAAAAAACAACAGGTTCTCGTTAATCTGATTATGACTAACTAAATCAGTTCCTCACTAATATAAATAATAATAATAATGTTTATTTTCACTTTCTGAAAGGTACAAATAGAAAAATATACATACCTACTTAATATTAGTGATAAATAAACGCTGACAACCACAAGGAAATAAATCCGCGCGTGGTGAGTATCTACGTTAAAGATATCGTGGAATTAGGTATACTTAATCTAGTTACAGTTGAGTACAGATTACATACATACTTATACATGGATACACATACACTCATACACCCGTGTATATATATACATACATATATAAAATGAGAAAGATAAACATGTAATACATTATATTATTAGAAGATATTTTTATTATATTAGTACTACGCACTAGTTCAAAATCAGCTGAATTGAAGTTAATCTATAACATGTTCTGCTTGTTGATATACAATTTTGAAGGGTATCTAATGGAATAGTATGTATCCAAATTTTGACTTTTTTCTTGAATAGTACCACTGAGTTGATACTCTTCAAGTCAGATGGCAATTCATTGAAAAGTTTAGGTCCAAGATAGGTGTGACATTTTTGTCCTATTGTTTTCTCAGTTTTCAGTATCAAAGCTTTAGTTTTGTTTCTTGTGCTATACTGGTGATTGGGATGTATCAGATTCGACTTATTCTTGAATTGTTTGAGCAGGATTATCTTGGCATGAAGTTGATATATATTCAATATGGAAGCTTCTTGATATAGATTGTTAGATGGGTAGGTTCTTGGTTTTTTATACATGTTTTTGAGATTACTTTTTTGAATTTTTTGTAAGTTGTTGATAAGAGTGATTGACGCACCTCCCTATGCAATAATTCCATAGGTAAGGTGACTTTCGACCAAAGCGTAGTATAATATCTTAAGATAATTAGGTTTGATGAAATCAGAAAGATTTTTGAATTTGTAGACCATAGAGCGTAATTTTTTGATCACAGAATTAATCTGCTTTTCCCATTTGAGGTGAGAATCCATATATATGCCTAGGTATTTAATGTTTTCGACAGACTTTATCCTTATTCCATTTGTTTCGCCAATACATGGTATATTCAGTTCATTATATGTTGGTAGATTGGAAGAGTACGATGTAAATGGTAGAAAGAATGTTTTTTTGTAATTAATTGTGAGAAGTTTATCATTGAAGAACTCTATTACATGTTGGAAATCTATCTCAATGTTATGTTTTAAAGTTATCCAGTCAGTTCCTCTATAAAAGATGGCAGTGTCATCTGCGAAGCTCACTACCTCTCCAATAATTTCTTGTTCAAATAGGTCATTGATGTAAAGGTTAAAAAGAATTGGGCCCAGAATTGTGCCTTGAGGTACCCCATATCTGATTGTTCTGAAGTCACTCAGTGAAAAATGCCCAGAGAGTTGGATACAAGATTTTCACAATATTTATCTTGAAAACCATGCAGTTCCGGACTTTTGTTTATATTAACTTTTCGCTTTAGACTCACCCAAATAATGGTTGCTGGAAGTCTGACAACATACTTAAATAACACCCTGAATGGGCGATCTAGTAACAACATAATTTCGATCACACAGAGTGAGTATAGTTTATGTTATGTAGCTTTGTTGATGAAAGGAATATTGAGGGGAATGTTGTAAACAACGGAGAAGGAAATAGTGGACAAAGCCCTCATAAAAAGATAACCGTAGTCACGTGTGTTAGTTGTTTCCCTGAATACTCAGGGTCTTCTGACCAAAACCACAATTGTGCGGCTGGCTTCTGTTTGTTGACTCCGATATTTTGTGTTTCGTCTTCCACCAAGTGTTGCCTATCTTTCGCACTTTTTTCACCGTACTGATGAGGGTCGGAAGTCCGAAACACGTGTCTACGGTTATCTTTTTATGAGGGCTTTGTCCACTATTTCCTTCTCCGTTGTTTACTAGCTTTGGTTAACATTTTAGAGCCTCAGTGACGAAACTTTTTAATGAACCTATGGGCCCTGACGATTTGATAGGGACAGTATTGCTATTACCTAAACGATGAAATATAGAAAGCTGACTGAATAAGAAGGAAGTTGCCAAATCTGAACCTTCCTCAATATGACGTTTCGCAATTTGGAAAAATGTCAGTCTTTCCTGAAATAATTTGAAAAACCTCAAAAGGACTGATTTCGTTTTCATTTATTTTCTCAGTTAATATTGGAGGAAGAAATTTGACATCCACCTGTCTTGTTTTCTCCATTCAGCTCTACGCATTCGATTTCACTTTGTCATCGCTTTGTCACTGTTTTTCGCTCTTTGGATACATTCAACTGAAATCATTCAGCAATCAGACATGAAACTCTATCGTTGGTACCTTGGATATAAACTATTAGAATCCGTCTTATATGGGACTCGTAAGTCTCAGATTATTGAGATGATGAAATGTAAATATCAAATATCTCAACCTAATATCAGGTGGGCACTCACCATTCTAAAAGTATCTTCTATATTTTGTTTTTGTTTTACGTATTGAAAATTTGAACCCAATCGGTCAAGCCGTTTATTAGTTGGCATACCGACAGCAGCGCTCCCTACCGCGTTCAATTGTATTTATAAATCATCCAGGAATATCCATATGAAATTTCAACCCAATCGATTCAGCTGTTTAGAAGTTATGTGAAAAAGATGCCCAAGTATGGAAGGATTATAATTTTTACTACCCGTTGACCTATTACCCATTATCCCGTAGGAATGCAGCATTTTTCCGCGATAAAAAGTAGCCTATGTTCATCAGGAATAATTTCCACTTCTAATGGTGGAAGAATTTTTCGAATCGGTCCAGTAATTTCGGAGCATTTTCAATACAAACAAGCATTCTTGAACTCTAATTGAATAATTAAATTCTTGAGACTTCAGAGGATCTACTTGTTGATTTCTAGGAGAATTTGATCAAGGAAGGACTGGAACTAGAATTGGAGCACAAAGATTTATCATTCGATGGAAGAACGTGGTTTCTGAAAATTCATCTTCCATGGAAAACGAAAACGAGATATGCAGCTGTCATGGGAATGAAATTACCGATCAAGAGGTTCATCACTATCTCTGTCAAAGCATGGGTTAGTGGAACATTTCAAATAGTATTCAATGCAAAGATTATGTAATGATAGCTACTAATCACGGGGTGAGTTACGATACGAGCCAAATAGATCGAGATGTCACTGGCACAAAAATGCAACATTTTTTAGCCTGATCAAATGGTGTTCAATAGTGCTTGTCTCGTAACTTTAATCCGGTGAAAGCTTTGTCAATGAGATCATATGTTTCTAGTTTTGATCTGAAGTTTGCTGCCTCGTAGCAGGACAGGCTCAGGTCAAAAAATGCAAAAATCCTGAAACATTTATTATTTTTTCCGGATTTCCGGTCTTGCAAACGAGCAAAAAGTTTTTCTATATTTTTATTCTTTTTTCACTTTTTTTTATGACTGTGAATAGGGTCCCACCAGCCGGATACCTTATTGTATCATAATAAGTTTCATAATGTTTATTTATGATTAGAAGAAGAAAAATTATACGTCGAATGATGCATCTATCTTTCTACCTATTCCTGAATTTATAAGGTCGCTATGGTCATTCAAAAAATGACAAAATTTACTACGCAGCAGGATTTTAAAATTGGTCTATCTCGAAAAAGGTGAAATGCCACGAAAACTGAACAGGAGTACCATTTATAAGTAAATATATTGAAATTCACATATTTTCTGGGTAATCATCCGAAAATTCCATCACCAAAACCGATGGTAGAAAAATTTCCCCTAGCCCCACAAATTTTCCATGCTCCTGATGAAAATTTCCTTCAGATGGTTATAACCCTCCCAAATGGAATACCCTGCATATTCATCCATATACGAATTTTTTGTGCCAACTCAACTCAAAATGTTGTGCATTATAACTTGTATTAAATCCTACAAGTTATTTACGTGAAGTAGATAGCTGTTTTCAAATTACAGTCGTCTAAAAGTGAGTATATTGCAGTTTTCACAAAAGTTGCTGAATGACGATAGCGACCTCACAAAATTGGAAATGAGGAAGATATAGATGTCATTCGGCGCAGAATGTTATGCTCTTCAACTTTGGAAACTATGATGTTTGTCGTCCGCTAAGTCGTCGTAGAAAATATGGAAGGGAAAAAGTAACAACAGTCCCTGTAGCGCACGAATGGATAAAATGTCCGGAATTACTTTCTGGTCGAAAAATGACCCATTCATAGATGAAAGCACATACAGAATTTGCATGCAAAATTTCCAATCATTATTTTTATAACTTTTCAGGATGACAAGAAGGACCAAACGAAAACAGAACATTTCTACTCCAGGTGGCAGAAGAAGTGGAAGGAAATTTTCGAGTTCAATCATGATTTGATCAGTCAGGAACCATCCTTTTATGATTCTACTGAAGGCGGTGATCGTGAAGAGCAGTTGAGTTTTTTACTTTCTCATCAGTAGAAGATACTCAATTAAAACACTTGGTTAAACGTGGGTTTCAATTATATTTCTTTCAGGTTTGTGGTCAAAGATAGAGTGACGAGCTATTCCAGTGCTCAAAGAAGTCTGATTGTGATGCAGATATTATTGAGGGTGAAGTTTGATGACACAGACAAAGTACGTAATAATAGGGAGTTTCGTGATAAAAGTACAATACTTTCACATTAAATCACAAAGGAATACCAATGCAATCGAGGAAGGAATGAATTGGTCATAATAAGTAACCGCTTCAAAATTGGCAGATGAAAATTATCTATATTTTGCTCTATTCTTTATCACCTCAAAGGACTCAAAAGAGTAACTAAAAAAGAATGTTTTCTGAATGAAACTTTGTTGATGACGGTATAATCCAAGAGGATTATTGTCTGAGAAAATCTGGATTTATTGTTTCGGAGAAAATGAATGTGTGAGTACAGTTTGGATATCTTGTATTCAAAGTTCGTCTTCAATTCCTCAACTTTATAATTATTGTGAGAACACTGACACTGACTGTCAGTTTCATTGAACAACTGTGAACGAGATTTTTAGGATATTTCGACCATTGTTCCATGTTTATAACCACTCAATCTACCGATTTACACCAGAATTTAAATTTAGTTAAACTTACTCATACATTGTCATTTTATCACCATTATTCTTCTCCATTCCTCATTTTCGAAGTAAATCCCACTCCAGAAGAGTAGGATAATATCACCTGGATTCAGTTACATGTTGTAACGGATGAAGTAAATAATGTTCTAGTAGATACTAGTATATAATGGTATATTATTTGTAGGTTGGTATTAGAAGACTACTGAATGATTATACTTACATCGCATGTTTTCCATTACACGAAGGCAGATGGGATAGAGAAACCAGTGATGGTAAACTATTAGACAGAAGGGTAAATATACTTCGAATAAGCTAGTTATAATGTTGAAACATTTATTATGTGATATACAGGGTGTTTCCTTACTATGGTTCCTAACTGCAGGGGGTGATTTGTTAGGTCATTTTTAGAAGAAAAGTTTTTATGAACATATGTCTGGAATTGCTTCGTTTCTGAGATACAGGGCGTTGAAATTGAAGAAAGAAAAACGGTAATTTTAAAGCATCATGAATATTCTGGAACCGATTTGGTTGAAATTTGATACTCTTATTTGTCAAATTTTTTAAAATTTCAGCATATCAAGTGTCAAATACATATTTGGCGGAAATACTGAAAAACTCATTTCTCCAATGCATATGTTCATGATTTTTTTTCTCGAAAACGAAGCTGGATATGATGAAGATACAAGAGACCAAAAAGTTGTATTTCGAGTTGCTTGATCTAAAAAAAAATTGAAATTTACCAAAAAAAGTCAGTGGCGTACTTTTTTCTACAATATTGTTGGCTGTGGTGCCCACTGAAACGCCACTGGCCCCAATAATTTCAATCTAAATAGGGCTAAATAAGAGCCTCATTAGTTTAAATTGAAGTACCAAATTTCAACCAAATCGGTTCTAGGATATTCATGATATTTTATAATTACCGATTTTTTTCTTCAATTTCAAAGCCCTGTATCTCAGAAACGAAGCAACTCCGGACATATGTCAATAGAAAATTTTCTTCCTAAAATGACCTAACGAATCACCACCTGCAGTTAGGAACCGTAGTTAGGAAACACCCTGTATTATTGGGTAACCTCAGTGAAATTACCCATGTAAAGGGCTTAACCCTAGGCATATGCACCCACATTCCTGGCCAACACCAGCCACCTCTGCCTTGTTCGTAGGATTTTAGCCATACAGTTTTCAAATTGTACATATTATGTATATTTATATACAATCTGAATGTACCTATGTGTTGTAAACAAAAATGTGGAAGAGAATAAACAACATCTAAGGGTCGTGGGATCGATCCCCGGTAGGAGCACTTTTTTTATTTTTTTATCAGAAATAAGATTTTTTATACCCTGACTAGGTCTCTTTTTTGACTATCCGAGTAAAAAAAATGTGGTTCTACGTTGATTCAGGTATTCATATTCCCGTTCAGACCTGAATAGGACCTTGATCTTACTTCCTGGGGACCGCTGGTTGAGTAACATCGTATGTCCCCAAAATGTCCTGAAAACGTACGCCGTATCTGAAATGGACATTCTGGGGACGTTTCCAATGTCAGAGGTGTACGGCTTGAGGACATTTTCGGGACGTTTCTGTGTAATAGACAAGTGAAAAATGAGTCATTTCTTCATCATCATAATAATTACAATCCAAAATTTGTTGAAATTGAGTACTGCAATTATTTTGAAAACAAATAGGTGTAACTCATCTGAAATCACATAAAGATTTCATAAGTAGTAAAATAATTGTGGGCTGCAATTTAAAATTTCAGGATTAGTTGCCCTGACGGTGAAATAGTGAAATGTAAAGTAACAACAAATACCTGAAAAGGTGTCTTTCTAGGGGACGTCTTTTCATAATGTCATCAGTTGGAGAAATATTGAGTTTTTGTTTTGCAAATTGGCTCCCTGTATACATTCGACTTTGTGCATTATCATTGATGTGCTTGAATTCGAGAACCACTGAGAAATTCTTTATGATCAATCAGATTGTACAATGCAACAGGCAAACAGGAATTCGTTTTCTCATATACGAATATTTTTGCAGTTGTTATATTTGGAATGGGCAAGACCTGCCAAGTGGATGAAACGACAGCCCCTACATTTGGTGCGAAAATATTTCGGTGACCAAATAGCCCTCTATTTTTGTTGGTTAGGTTTTTATACGAAGATGTTATTCGCTCCAGCAATAGTAGGGACGCTCTGCTTTCTATATGGACTGTTCACAATCGATGGAGACGATAACAGACCAACGTAAGTTCATAGCATGATGGTAGAATCAAAAAATTGTATACAGAGTCTACCAACGAAAAGTTGACCCCCCTTTAACTAAAAAAACCGAATCTTCTACCAGAAATTGCCGGTAACCGTCGAATTTGATACTTAGGGGGAGCATTTTTGACAGTTGAACGAGCTTGATGTGTTCATCCTCCTAACCACCAGCAAACTCAACTTTGGAATTTCAAATGGAATTACCCTACTTCAACACATTATTTTGAATAACTTTCTATAGCGAATTATCATCGTTTTTGGAACTCGGTTGAGATTTGACAGTTATTGAACAAAATCAATGGGTACTTGACAAAAATTGTCAAATAACTGACATTCGCGTTATAATTCATAACTAAAATTGCGCACTAATCAATACAATAGAATAGATGAAGAATAGAAATGTAGATTTATTTTCAAGAAAACATGGTACACATGTGTAGGAACAAATTTGAGTGTGTACAAATGTATAGGTACTTGACTAAGTACAAAAAATAATAATTTATAGCAGGATTGAAACATCGCTATCAGAAATAGACACATTTGGATAGAACAGAAAATACGTTGTGAATAATGAATATTTTCAGTACAAACAAGAGAAAAAAAAAACCTCATACATTATTTGTTGGGGCGAAATTATCATTCAAAAGGTATTCACCAACTGTATAGTAAGCCTTAGTAACTGAAATTTCTTTCATTTTAATATAAAATATTCTAGAATTGTAGTAAGCAATAACACGATCTGCTGAGTTTAGTATTCGTGAATTTGATGTGTTCCCTCCATGAGAAATAACGATCGAGTTTAAAACCCAGAGATTCTATCATTTTTACCGATTCAATTTCAAATGACAGCTTATCGACCTTTTTATTCGCAAAAGGCATGCATAAAGTTTTTCCAAAATTCATTTCAATTTTATTTGTTGCACACCATCGAACAATATTGTTCAAACAGAGTGTGATTGTATCCTCTGAATAGGCGCTGTCGCGACTAGGGCTGCGCAAAAATATCGATATATCGATATATATCGATATATATCGATATATCGAATAACGATACCATAGAAAAAAAATATCGATATATCGATATATCGATATATATCGATATTTATCGATATGTATCGATATGTATCGATATGTATCGATATGTATCGATATGTATCGATATGTATCGATATGTATCGATGTGTATCGATATGTATCGATATGTATCGATATGTATCGATATGTATCGATATGTATCGATATGTATCGATATGAATCGATATGTATCGATTTATATCGATATATCGATACATATCGATACATAACAATATACAACAAACAAACCATTGGTATTATTATTGTGTAAATTTGTACAATCTCAGAATATCAAATATCTGCTGAGAATTTAGGATATATTGCATTATGAAAATTTTAATACAGTTCAACAGCAGGATATATCGATATACATATCGATATATATCGATATACAGTATGTCCAAAATTGTTGAGGAGTGTATTGGGATATCGGAAACTAAAGGAGATGGAAAGTCGGTTGAATGGGGAAAGTTTCAGACAACTTCATAGATCCAGACAAGGTATTCAACACAATATCAGCCATTCTAAACAAATATTGTATTTTCAATCTTCCAATGAATGTATTTGCTCGGTTTTTTCCATTATCTCATGATTGTGTGTGATGCCTGTGTAGTGTGTGTGTACTTGTGTAGTGTACTGTGTACACTCTGTCTGTACACCTGAGGTGTACGGTGTACACTGTGTATTGTGTATATCGATAAATAGGTACATATTGTTATATCGATATATATCGACCTGCATATCGATATATCGATATATATCGATACATATCGATATATATCGATACATATCGATATATAGTGTTATGAAAAATGTTGATTAGTATAGAAATTTATTAAAAAAAAATTATCTTGTAAAGTGATTCAACTCTGAAAAATGGTGAAAAGTTGGTACATATCTTTAAATTAAGTTAATTATAAATTTGTACAGTTAGTTTTAAGAAAAATAATAAAAAAAATATAATGTTTTGAAATTGAATGCTGTAACACTAAATACAGTGAACGAATTTCGGAGTGGAGTGTGAAAAGAAATAGAGGAAATCTAGGAAGAAGGCACAGGGAGACTGTTACCATGGAAAAGTTTGTTTTTTTGTTTGTGGTTGTTGTTGGGTGAAGCCATTTGGAATGAGGGAAAGAAAAATTACCGATTTTTACAACAATCAGAAAATTAAAGAAAAAACCAAATAGAACTGATAAAAATTGGCATAAGAAAAGCGACTAAACATAATTGGACACTGATTGAATGAAGAAACTCACCTGAAGCTGCATTTTAACATATAAAATCCAGGAGGAAACTACATGGATACACTACCAGTAAAAGAATAATATCCAAGGTATTTATCTCAGGATCCATACAGTACTGAGTATATTTCGACAAACTTCCTGATGCTCTCTTCAATGAATTTGAATCACAATCTCACATGAAAACAAGAAATTTATCTACTACAAACTTTTATGCGCTCTAAGTGACTTTTAAAACTCCATAAAAAAACATTTCCTACAGTAAATACTACTCATTATTCTGTATAACAGACTCTATTTATACATTAGCAGACACCATATCTCCAATGTTGGGAGAAATTTCATAGTTTGTAAACAATAAGTTTGGTTAGAATATCACCGATCTGACAGAAAACCTAATCATTAATTCCGTTGTGGCTAGTGAATCAGCACCGTGACCATAACACATGAAAGGAAAGGTTCTGTGGTATTCTTACAATTTCAACTTTTTTGATAATAGAAAAACATTGATAGAATTAAGTTAGCTAGCACAGAATAGGGTAGAAATAAGGTAAGACTGATTTGAACACCATAATTTTCATGGTTTTTCTTGATGAATGTTTATAATAAAACCAACAATCAGAGTTTGAATCATCTTTATGTAATTCTTTTGGTACAAAAATAGTCAAAGTATCTTTAAAAAAAAAAATATTAAAAAAAAACCTTTCTGAGAATTCTACCTGAGCAAGAGAGTTCTGCATGTTCTTGGGTACCGACTGAGCTGAGTTAGAGTAAAAGAAATAAAAGGTAAGAGACAACAATGAGAAGAGTGTAAGTATTTATCTGGGCAATCAATAATATAAAAAAAAAATACAAACTATAACAATAGATACATATAGATATATCGATATATATCGATACATATCGATATATCGATACATATCGATACATATCGATATATCAATACATATCGATATATCGATACATATCGATACATATCGATACATATCGATACATATCGATACATATCGATACATATCGATACATATCGATACATATCGATACATATCGATACATATATCGATACATATCGATACATATCGATACATATCGATACATATCGATACATATCGATATATCGATACATATCGATATATCGATAGATATCGATACCAAAGCGTGCATCGATATCGATATCCAGTTTTCAATATCGCACAGCCCTAGTCGCGACTCTCAACAATGAAAAGAGCATCATCTGCATACAGCAGAGGCGTTATTTTCCCACAATTACTCGGAAGATCGTTAATAAAAATGAGAAAAAGCAGGGGCCTCAATATTGATCCTTGTGGTACCCCAATTCTGATTTCTGCGATATCGAGAGTTGAAAGCTCTTGATCACATTCGTTATTATTTTTCTACACATATCGTTAATGGCGATTGATGAAGATTTGCCTGGAAGAAACCCGTTCTGGCAAGCACTTGATAATCCGTTCGATTCCATGAACGAGATCAGTCTTGTTTGCATCAGTTTTTCCAAAAGTTTCGACAAATGGTCGACAAAAGTGATATAGGTCTATAGTTCTCGAATTTGTTTACATCTCCATTTTGAATCTAGGAACCACGTGCGATTTTTTCAAGCATCTTGGGAATATTTCTGACCAGTTTCAGCATTTTTGAAGAAATATTATCGTAACCGGCCGAGTTTTTGGATTTCAAGAAAGTTCTGTCATGTGGACAATTCTGATTTTTCAAATAATCCCTGATCTCAGTTTCATTTGTTCCTCTATCAATTTAAATTGCGTTCAAGAAGTAATCATTGAAATTTTGGTATTTTTATAGTTTTTTTAAATTTTGTGTCATTTTTCGTTTCCCTGTTCATGATTTCTCAAGTTTTCTTCATTTTATTCTCACTGGTGAGAATTTCGTTTTCCAAAAACAAGGCTCTTTCTTTGGCTGTAACTCGTTTTAGTATGTAACAATATTTTTTTCTGAATCTGTTGAGTACTTCGTTATCTATTCCCCTACAGAACGCTGTCAACTGTCTTTCATGTAAGCAGGAGCAACTCAAGGTCTGGGTAAGGTGAAGGTAAAGCTTCTTACCTTATACACCATTACATATTTATTAGTATTTTGAAAGATATTATCCTACGAGTTTTTTCTATGCACACAAATTAATATAAAATGTGATAACTTCTATAACATAATACCCCCTTATTATGCTGTGACTGTGCAGATGATCATTTCCCAGGTCATTGGATTGGTAGGAGAGGTCCCATCGAATGGCCACCAAGATCACCTGATCTTACCCATTCGAACTCTTTATGGGGTCATTCGAACTCGCGATTGTATTCCACGCAACCTGGAACACTAGATGTGATAAATAAATACAAAGAAGCTCGAAGTCATTTCCACAAATGTTAGATGTGATGCTACATATGAGAATTATGGAAGAATGACGATTAATAACACCAGATGTCTTCGGAAACGTTCGAAAAGAATTTGAAATGAGTTTGTATCACTATTTGCAAGTTATTGAAGGTCATTCTGAACTATACATCGAATAAATCTTCAATTTTTGGACGCTTTTTCTATTGTAGACTACTTCATTTTTGGTGAATCGATCGACACAACAAAATAGAGGGATGTGGTTACGTAGAAAATTGAAAGCTTTCAATTGATGGGCAATTTTTGTAAGAAATTATAACGAGAGTGTCGGGCTTGCCAATTATTGTCATGTATCAATTTTATTCAATGAGTCGGTCAAATTTCAACTTATTTCCAAGAACGATGCACCAGAGTATTCGAAATGGAAAGGGCTTTGAAATGATTTGTTGTAAGTAGGGTGGTTTCATTTGAAATTCCAAAGTTGGGGTTGCTAGGGGTTAGGAGGATGAACACATCAAGATAGTTCGGCTGTAAAAAATGTTCCCCCCAGTATAATCGACGGGTCCTGGCGGTTTCTGGCATACCGCATTCGGTTATCTAGTTATGAAGGGTGGTCAAGTTTTCGTTGAAAGACCCTATACAGTGCTAGTCAAAAGTCCCCTCCCCCCCTCGTATCTTTTGAACGGGTATACTTATAATAATGGCCTTGTGACGTCATTTATGACTATTGCGTCACCTGTTATGACCAGTTGAGAAGCCTACATCCGTTTATTTCCACTCTCCAAATTTCATTATTATAAGTATACCCGTTCAAAAGATACGAGGGGGGGAGGGGACTTTTGACTAGCACTGTATACTAACAATTCCACGACCTATATAGAACTGTCTACTCCTGTGATATAAAATCAGTAAAGCCACGACGTCACGGCAACCACGAATTTAGAACAACATCTTGTCACCTCGTGGGACATTGAGATGACACTTTTATATAGGTCGTGGAATAGTCTCAATAAATACAAATCCTGCTCACAATACTATCGAAAATCATGTCAGAAATTTTGAACATCATTGAATTGCTTGGTTGATTTCTGACAGAACTGCTATCGATAGTATTCTAGCATTCATGGTATTACCCCTGATAATGCTGATATTTTCAGGAAAGAAATATGTGATCCTAATGGTCCAGGAAATATAACGCTGTGTCCTATGTGTGATAAAGCCTGTAAATATTTGAAACTTATAGATAGTTGTAAATTTGCTAGGTTGACGTATCTATTCGATAATCCAGCAACGGTTTTCTTCGCTATATTCATGAGTTTATGGGGTAAGGAGAACACAATGACTATTATGATAATGTATATAGACATTCAAAATGTATGCAATAAAAAATAGTTATAATACAAGGGAAGTTAAAAAATAGGTTAACAGAATTATGCTTTGAATGGAATCTTTGTAGTTCATATAGTAGTGTTTTTGTGATGACTTTAGCAACAGTATTCTTGGAGTTATGGAGGAGAAAACAAAGCGTTATACAGTGGGAGTGGGACTTGCATGGTACAGAGCAAGACGAAGAACCTAGACCAGAATTCGAAACAAGTGTCAAAACATACAGGACGAACCCCGTTACAAGAGATAAAGAGCCTTATTTGCCTACATGGTCTAAAGCTATGAGGATGGCCGCTACTGGTTCCGCAGTGTCTTTCATGGTAAGTATAGTGATTTTTTTTTCGAACTCACAATTCAGCCTTGATTATTCTAAGATTCAAATGACGCATTACGAAATTCAATGGGCTGTTTAGAAATACAATAGATCTGATATTCAACCTACTACTATGAAATACAGTTGATGCTTTCTGGGATATTATATAGTTACTATACTGGGATAAAATTCATGATTTCTGGAATTCGATTGATCATACTTAGATCATTGACGCGTTCTCAGATACAAACGACTATCTTGAAATGGATGGATCATTCTAAAATACAGTCATCACACTCTACGATTTTTGTAATACAAGTAGTAGTAGTAGTAGTCGGTGGGGCTGTAGCCAAGCAAGTAGGCCCCGATGGGCCCTTGTTGCTAACCCATGCTCTCCACATATCTACGCTTCCTTCACCTAGATTTCCTTTACGAATATACCTGACCTTCTGATGAAGACGAGTATGCCCGTCCACTCTAATCTGATCAACTCCTCCTGTTGGAGTTTGTCGACGCTGAAGATTTCAAATCTCAGCCTCCCGTACGCCTCGCACTCGCCGAGTAAATGGAGTGACGTTTCTTCGTCTTCCCCACATCTACGGCAAGTGAGGTTGTCCTCTATTCCCAAAAGTGGTAGGTGTCTGCCTAGCCTGATGTGTCCTGTGAGTACTTCTTTGAGGAGGAGGAGTACTTGGCGGTCTCTGCCAAGCAACCAGTTCTTCCTTGATTTGCTCGGACCGGCCACGAACTTCTTGGCCTGCCTGCAACCTGTGATATCCCTTCAGTATTCTCCTAGTGCCTTGTCTGCTCATTCATCAAGGCTGACGTAGTTTGGCTTCTTACTATACTAGTACAGGATCCGGTCCCAGGAACGGCTCCGCGGATCCGGCCCTAGCAAGTTCTTTTGCTGTTTCGTTTCCGGGCACACCACTGTGACTCGGGACCCATACCAATTCAACTTTCTTTGATTCGGCTTATATCTCAACTATTATCCGAACAGATATATGTGGATATAGATCTTCTGCTCTGGTCCCTCTTTCACCTCTTGCCTCGATGCTACGACCAAGATGGCGAATGCAATACAAGCGACTATACTGAAATACAATTGGCATTTTCTGAAATACTGTTTTAGAATAAAATCAACTCTCTTTGAAATTCAATTGGCTCTTCTGAGATACAAGTGACTATATACTCTGAAATACAATTGAAGCTTTCCCTAATTAAATCGTTGCTTTCTGAAATACAACAGGAAAATTTGTGGTTCATATATCACTTAGTAGGGTTGGTTTAATGAAGATACAAGGTGTTATTAGCAATCACAGCAATTGCAATAACATATACAATAAGCATAAGTGAATCATTAGCAGTTTTTATACATTCCTATTTTTCTGGTGAATTTCCAGCGAAAGTTGGTTGTGAAATCTGAAAGAGCAACAAATATAGTATAAAATTGAGCAACACAAATCAACTGCAATACACTTCTCCATGATTTATATAATGAAACATGATCTAGTGAAACAGTTGAATGCATGGTCCAAATAAGAATTTCTGACATACTTAGAAACTATGGCCCTCAACACCCTAGATGAATTAATTACCATATATCTGACGACTAATTACCATATATCTGACGACTAACTCCTACATGGATCGAATTTTATCTCTTTTTCTGCCTAATGTAGAAGAGTTTCCTATAATTTTCAGTATGTTTAGAGTTTATTGAAATGCAAATGAACACGTGGTTAAGTACCTCGACATAAAAGTGAAAAAATAAATTTCATGAAGAAGCATGTATAGAGTTTATGGAAAGGTTGTAAATAATTACGTGGTTTGAAAGTACCTTGTCATGAAAATGAAAAAATAAGTTTCATGAAAAAGCTTTCCATTCCGAGCAAATTAATTCTTCTAGTTGAAACCTGATAACGGGAACGAAACGACGAGATTATTTATTGTACTCCCAATTATCATTACTGTATCAGGTGTTTACTAAATATATACATCGAAATTACTGGAATTCTATTTGAAAGTATACAGGGTGGTAGAAAATCAGGTCCATGTGTAGATTCTCTTCATTTCTATGGTTACTTTCAATTTAGTGATTGTATATTGAACTTATACAAGGTATACTCAACAGTTTTTGACTGCCCATCGTATAGTTTTGTTTCTTTTCAGCTAGTGGTCGTCCTATGTGCCGTACTAGGAACAATAATCTATAGACTGTCCCTCGTTTCAGTGATATATGGTAGCAAATCGTTTTTCTTGAAGAAACATGCCAAAATATTGACTTCTGTGTCAGCAGCTGTCATCAATTTGATTATTATTATGTGTCTTACTAGGGTGAGTTCCTAATATGATGAACTATGCAATCGTATGAACTTTCAGATAATATACATATACAAAGTTGGAATTGCAACCTGTCTTTTTTATTGAAATCAGTAGCAGTCGATGAAAGTTACAAAACATGAGAATAATACAGGGTGATCTATATGAGGATGATGAGAATTATTCAGTGGGTTGACCCCCAACGATAGAACTTTGGATTGAAGCGAAATTCAAATGATTCAAAAATCAAAACACCCTTTATTATTTATAGCAATTCGCATTCTTACATAGATTACTCGGTATAGGGATGGAAATGGAATCTACTTGTTCACATGATGTTTTTTTCAGTTTTATCATAGGATAGCGATATTTCTAACAAATTTAGAAAGTCCTAGGACCCAAACCGAATACGAAGACTCATATACTTTTAAAATTTTTATCTTCGAATTTATGAATTTTTATTCTTCTTTGATATACATCGCATTTTTCAAGGTAACTACTTAGATGATATCATAATATGTTTGAATATATCGTTAGTTTATTTTCAGGGTAGATTTTACGATTACCCTGGTGATACCATCAGCAGAGAGTCTGAATTCTTGCGGGTTAAAGGAGATATTTGTGATCCAGCAGGCTGTCTAAGTGAATTATGCATTCAGTTGTCCATAATAATGATAGGAAAACAAATTTTTAATAATTTTGTTGAACTCTTCAATCCGTAAGTAATAAGTGATATATTTTTTAGACAATTATTGAAATTCGTGATATATAATGAAATGACAAAAAAGAGAAGAAGTCGCGATCAACCCAATTCAACTCTGTACGATGCGATGTTTATATAGTAGAGCAGTTTGAGGAATTGGGGTAGAAATAATTTCCACAAAAACGCAGTTTTCATTTTCTGAAGCCTCATTCCTGCCCTTACACTATATTGAAAATATAGATGCATTCTTTCATGCAAAAATGTTTTGATGCAACTTTTCATATTTCAGGTGCCCGAACCGAAATGATTGTTTCACAACTCAACACATGCTCCGCTACCTATGTTAGGATCTTCAGGATAAGATTCAAACGAATTCTATAATCATCCTAGAAATGATAATATGGTTAGCAGATCTCACAATTCGTGTCGAGGTGTGAAACAATCATTTTGGTATGTGATTGAAACTATTCTTTGTGATCGTGAATGAAAGGTTCCATTATTTGATACATCATTCCAGGTATATCTGAATATATTGAATTAAAAGCAGCGATGGAAGATAACAAATGTTTGTTATTTTCGTTAAGTTCTGATGATAGTTCGAATTGTGTTAAATTGACTGCTGAAGGTGTCCAAGGAATTACAAGTGCTAGCAAGTAGGAGCAAGACAAAATAATTGAACTCTTGGAACCAGTGCCTATTCATCCTCTAATTGTTCACGTCGAATGTCGTCGTTTGTACGTAAATCCGAACAAGATGAAGAATGATCTCAGGTTTAAATCAGATCCTGATTGAGAAACATCAACTAGTAGCAGCAGCAGCAGCAGCAGCAGCAGCAGCAGCAACAGCAGCAGCAGCAGCAGCAGCAATAGAGCTTCGTGATCTGAGCTACCGACATTCGCGTTCAAAGATAATTGCTTGTTTTGTGGCCAATTCATCAAGGAAACTGAGAAAATAATTAAATCTGCAATTTTACTAGTACGAACTTTCGCGTTTCGACAAACTATTATCGATGTGTGTGATGCAAGAAACGATTTTTGATCATCAAATGTCCTTGCACGTCTTCTTTCCGTTATCGATACTTGCCAGCAGCAGATGCTCTGTATAATCAGAAATGTAGTGTGAATTTTGGAAAAGACTACTCTATTCCTAAGAAACATCAACATGATATTCCCAATGAACAGACAAAGTTAGCAGGACGTCCTTCTGATAAAAATAAAGAAGATGCCTTTTTAGAAATATGCAGGTGGCTCAAGAAAAATGATGAACCAATTTCAGTTCAGGAGTTGCTGGACAAGATTGCAGAGCTGCTGCCAGAAAATATCGAACCTTACACTGTTCGTCGTATGCATAAAAAATATTTCTCGGATGATATTATGATATTGAGACAAAAAGGTAGAGCTAATATGATCGTAACAGGGAAAACAGTTGCCAATATAATTTGTGATTATCAGCGACAAAAGTGTTCAGAAGATCCTAATGCTGAAAAATTTCGGATAGTTGAAGCAACAGCTAAACTGATTGAGAATTCAATCAAGTTGATGAGAACATCCTTAGAGTTTTATCCTTCACCAGAAGAAATAAGTTCGGTGCAGGAAAATAATAACCTTTGGCCCGACATTTTGAAAACATTCTTGGATGTAATAATCAACAAAAAATCCTCAAGTTTGAAGAAAAATTCAATTGAACAGGCACCAATGCAAGCTGCAAGGCCACGATCTATCATAAGTTCAATTCATCTAGGTGTTGGTGTGCATTATCATCGAGATTTCCGATCTCGGTTACTTGTCGATGAACTTCATAAACTTGGGTTTTCTGTATCATATGATGACGTACGAAAGTACTTGCAAAACTGAAGTAGATGAACCTTGTGGAACCAGATGTAAATGTCGACGATACGGAATTTTTTGCACAGTATTGTACAATAATTGTTCGAGAAGGTACCAATATTCCAATCGAGGAAGTTGAAGATAATGAATGAACTTCTGTTACATGCAAAATATGCCATTTTTATTAGGTTTATGATTTAAACGTATTAACGAATAAACGAATATTGGAAACACTGTATTTTCATTTTGCAAAAAAGTATCATTCTATATTTTCTCATATGTGTAATTCTATGCATTCTGAACTGAGAAAAGCAAAAAAAATTTTTGTGGGAATTATTTCCATCTGAGACAATTTTTTATCGCATATCTACTACACTTACACCCCTATGGGGGAAATGAAATCTTGCTACGTGCTAATGATTTTATTGGTGATTCAGAAATATGATACTAGTGCTTTTATCACAAAGCTAGCTGGAGGAAGGGAAGGACTTTTAATATTAGAACCAATTTTATGTTTCCTCATTCATTGCCGATCGGTAATCAGAAAATAAAAAGTTTTGGAGATGTTTCCTTCTGCAATCTATTACCTTTATAATGTGCTTGTAGTTTGCCTCTATGCCTTATGAGTGATTGAGTAATTATTTCAGTGCCTTTTACAATTGGTGGAGATGGAGAACTCATAAATCCAACACGAAAGATCCTACGAGAAAACATACAAGATGGGAGGAAGACTACCATCTTCAAGATCCCGGTAGATTGGCGTTATTTGATGAATATCTAGAAATGAGTGAGTCTGTAATCTGGATCGAATTTAATATATTTTTTTGCTATTTTCTGTTATTTTAGTGGCGTCATGCCACTCAGCACTTCCAGCATAGATTCCTGATGCACCTGCACTTTTACAGATGTTACGGATATATACTTACATGCACTTACAGTTGATCAGTAGTTGTTGTTGAAGGATTGTGAGGAGGAAATTGAAGTATCAATTGATGGTGAGAAAAAAATTAAGAAGAAGATGGCATTTTGTATTCTAATAGAAACTAATACACATATAACATCAACGAATATCACTAGCTCATCACACATGTCAAATCACTGTAAATTTATCAGACAATGAGAAGAAACCGAGAATCTGAAGTCTAAGAGATTCTAGGGGATTGTAAAAACTACACAAACGATAAGATTTCCACAAAATTCTCAAACACAAGACATGTTTCGCTAACACAGTAGCTTCGTCAGGTGATATACTGGTACAATGAACTGTTCATTGTCACTGACAAGCTAGTGAATTCCTCTTTTAGGCTCTCTGATAGAAGAATTTTTATTGAGAAGTGGAGAGAAAATCTCAAAAAAATCTGAAATAATGAATGTACCACCTCCTCGGTCAACCTACAAACAGTATATAAGGAATTCACCTCTGAATTTTCTCGCATGCATCCATCCACACCCTGTACATATATCTATCATGATACATTTCACATACTTAATATCGTAAATTTGTTCGATTTTGTAGTTCTGCAGTATGGGTTCGTAACTCTATTCGTGGCTGCGTTCCCATTGGCACCATTGTGTGCCCTATTGAACAACATTGCCGAAATAAGGCTTGACGCCTACAAAATGGTGACACAAGCAAGAAGACCTCTTGGCGAGAGAGTGGAAGATATCGGTGCTTGGTATGGAATATTGAGAGCAATAACTTACGCAGCAGTAGTATCCAATGTTAGTATATAGTGAACTGATTTTCAGGACACACTTTTTTTGTATGCCAAAGAATTTTACTTGAGGCATGTTAGAAGTTATATGGAGAATGATGTTCATATGAGTCTCATGATTTCAGGGATTCGTCATAGCATATACCAGTGATTTTATTCCTCGAATGGTGTATCAATACAAATACTCTCCTACTGAAGATTTAACTGGCTACATAGATGCTTCTCTATCAGGTACCTATCTAAAATCATTATTCTCACATCATACAGTGCTTTTCTTTGATGTTCCACCTCCCCATTTAATTTTTGAATGGGTCAACTGAAAAAATTGTAGCTGATAATGAAATTGATGCATGATCATGAGGTGAAATCGACAGATGAAAATTTCAAGATGGCGACGGAGCGCTATCTGAGAAAATAAATTTAATGGAAAGGGTGACACATCCTTTTGATGATCCTGACGAGTACTTTACAACCCTAGAATATAGGCCGTGGGCCCACCATGCACTAACGGCGTCGAGTGGGGGTAGCCCCAGGTGATTCCAGGCACCTCTGGTTAGAAGCTTGAGGTCCCCACTCTCGTCATGGTAGCGGTACGTGTGGAAGGCTGCGAACGGTCACTCATCAAACGGGACTGGAAGATTCCGGTCGACATGAGCAGCTGGGCTTGCTCAGCGAAAACTGGAACTTTGGAGTAGAGGGGGCAGCCCTAATCGATCATATCGCCAGTCATCGTAGGCAAAGCCTGTAAACGAGGTAGAGGAACGTGTGAAAGTCCTCGAACGATCACTCATTCAACGGGACGAGAGGATTCTTGCCAACATGAGTAGCAATCAGGTCAAAGCCTCTTGCGACGGCGACCCATCAAACGTAACAAGGGGAATCTTATCGACATGGGTATCTGAGGTGATGAGGATAGCCCCATCAGGTTGTACATACGACCTGGTGCATAGCAAATTGGGTTGGACACCAGGGGGCAGTTGTTTTTCATAAAACAACACCGGTCTACGGTAGAGGAGGTGAAGAAGTCGAAAGATAGGTAACCGGCAGTCATCCCCTATGGGAGTCTTGTGAGAGGGGGGTGGGAATTGGTACCACCTGGTTGCTACCCTGGCAACACATTGATTGATTGATTGATTGATTGATTGAACCCTAGAATATAAAGTCAATATCTCCACCTATACTACAAAATGGCGGAGCATAGTTGCCTGAATACAAAAACATAAATATCTATCCATCGAACAAAATTTAACAAGGAAACTGTATTTGAATATGCCGAAAAGTACCTACTTTTGACCCTCTAATCACCGAAATCGTCGAAGCAAATCCTAATGAATTCGATATGGATATTTGATTCCAACAAGATGGAGCACCACCACATTCTACAACCTCAATGAATTTTTTGCCTTATCTTTTCCGGAAAACTATATAGTTTGATCTATTATACTACTCTTGATACTTACGTTATTATTATCATCCATTTATTATTGTTGAAACTTCTCCTTTACTATATATCAATATGATATCATTCATTCATTCATTTATTGTCAAAATAACTAATTTGTAAATACTTTACTCATGTCAAAATTAACTGATTTGTAAATACTTTTCTCAGTGATACTATTCCTTATGCCAATGGCTATGTACACCCTGTTGTATATTGGAAATAAAATACTTACTAAAAATACTTACATTACTTTAGACCAGTGAGAACCTATTTGGATAATATTCCTCCGGTTGTTGGATTGGCTGTCGAGGTCCTGCGGAATATTTGAAAAAAAAGGTGTACGGAGCTGAACCTACTTCAATATTTGATAAACGGACAAGAATAATAAATATTTGTATGAATATCGACGTAATTGTGTTCAAAAATGTTTGGCGTGAAATATCGGATAGGCTGTTTATATGTCAAGCAGTTCAAGGCCACCATTGCGAGCTTCTTCTGAACTGAACTCAGCTTATTTCCTCAAATTATGAAGTTAAACGTCGATATATTCAGGCGCCATCTTGAAATTTTCATCTGTTGATATAGTTTTCAAGTTTAACTTCCTTGAGTTGACCTGTTCAAAAAATGAAAAAAAAGGGGGGGGGGGGAGAGGGGATATTGAAGAGAAGCACTGTATTGTTTGAGTATGATGGTACCACGTTTGATTTTTTTCAGTATTCAATACTACAGATTATCGAGAAGATATGAGAGTAGACGATGACAATCCGCCAGTTACTTGCCAGTATAGAGGTGAGTCTTCATTCGAAAAAAATTGCCTTTGCATCTTCCTTCATTAACTCTTCTTACCTACTGAAATGATTGATTCGTTTCCACAAACATTAGGAAGTGATTGTGCCTGAATAAACAAGCTTGATTCTCAATTTTGATAACTGTTCTGGAAGATACTTCCAGATTGAGCTCAATAGGCTTAGGCTTTCACATAATATACCCAACAGCTAACGTTATAGGAGGAGATACAGTTACTGATGTTCCAAGCAGGGTACACAGCTCTCAAATAGGAACTTTATGTGCCAGTAATAAATACAAATTGATTTGGCTTTTGCAGCATTTTGTCTAAATTTTCAGGTTGCTTTGATTGAGCATTCGCATTATCTAGCGATGTGTTTATAGTCTTCTATTCTGCACTATTTAAAAACTGTTTCTAATCATCTACAACATGAAATCGCGGCAACATTGTTCAATGAGCTTTTTTTCATCTCATCGGTTATTCAAGTGAATCGCAATCCACTATAAGCTGAAGGTCCCGCTCTTCTACCCGCACATGTTTCCACATCTGGGGAGTTGGTTTCCAACTTCGAAGTAGCGATGGAGAAAAAAAATTCAAGGCATCAGAAAACAACGTTCCATGATTTCCATAAAGTGTACTAGAGGCACAAATAGGCCGATCGAAATCAACTTACCTGGAAATGCCCGACCAACGAGAGGGCTATTATTTGTCGAGTTGAGTTAAAGTAACTTTGAATCCCTAAGGGTTTAAAGTAGGTACCACTTTTATAAATGAAGGTACCCTTTGAATCCCTGAAGTGCATGAAATTCGTCACTATCGTGAATGTGCATGAAGAACATGTTATACTAATTTGATCAATATACAGGGAGATAAATATTATGCATTCTCTTCGATGAAAATTGATGTAACTTTTTTATAGTACGCCACCGACCATAATGTAATATTTAAATGAATGACAAAACCAATCGTGTAACTTTTTTCTGACTACCAGTTATTTTTTTATAATTCTCCTTGGTTTTCGAGATATCTAATCCGAGAACTAACATAATTCATTCTGGTGCTTCTTCATACTTGTTTATGATGTGTCAGAATTATCATATGTTTTTCTCAAATTAAGTCTTTTGCGAGAAAGAAGAAAGGAAGTTTGGAAATGAACAGCTCCCAGACAAAATGATGATGAGTTTGCGAAATGGTAAACATGAATATCGTGGTCAATAACTCAACACAAATGGGGTAACAATACTTGCAAAAGATGATAGGTAATCCCACAGGGTAATCCTGACATGAGTTCTGTTGTATATCTCGAAAACCATGGGGAATAAGACAAATTGCAATTGTAAAAAAGTTAGAATACTGAATATGTCATTTATTGAAATATCAAAATGTGGTCAGTGGTGTACTCCAAAAAAGTCACCTAAATTTTCATCAATTGCGAGAAGTGCATCCCAAAAACTTGGTCTTCTGTTTTGAGCCAGGAGCTATTTCACTTCCAGTCAGCTGCTAATGATCTATAAGGCACAGATCCGACCTTTCCTGGAATACTGTTCTCATATTTGGAGTGCAGCACCCAAACATTCCCTGAAACTGTTGGATTCTGTCCAAAAAAGGGCAATTCGTCTCGTGGGTGATGCCTCGCTCACAAACTCACTCACTTCTCTGGAACATCGTAGAAAAGTTGACGATCTGGCTCTATTTTATAGATATTTTCATGGACGATGCTCTTCTGAAATATCAACAATTGTACCTCCCTTGGCAGTCCCCGCGAGATTAACCCGTCGAGTTGAGGCTTCGCACCCCTTCGTGGTCACTTTGGAGACCTACAGAACATCTCTTTCCAAGGGAGATGTTCCCCGAGGCATATAACCTCCAGAAATTCGAGAAGAACACCAATTCCTACCTTATTTCACTTGGTTCTCACGATGTTCTCTGAACATTACAGGATATCCCTTTTCGTGGGAACCAGAACATGAAAAAAAAATCTATCTCTGTATATTTGCCCGACGCATTTTAGATCAGTAGTTTTCAAGGATTTTAAAATATTCAAGAAAATCTGTAAATTTTCTTATTGAGGTTAGTTGATTTCAATCGACCTATTTTGCCCTCTATAGTTCACCATGTAAAATTTATAGTAGGTACGTTGTTCTGAAACACCTTGTAAAGCAATAATTATTATTATATTAGCTTCATAGAATTGGAAAGTGATAAGCATACATGTAATAATATATGCAGAGTATCCATTATTCCAGATTTTTTGGGATTTTTTCTCATATAAATATGACTTAGCTTTGGACGTTTCGGAAACGATATGGATATTTGTATAGTAAATTCGTATGCGTCTTGACACTTTTCAGTTTTTAGTGACGTTGGCAATCAAATGAGTAACAGCATGTTTCCATTAGTTAATTTTGAATTTATCATTTTCAGATTTCAGTCGTGAATACCATGTTCTATCCATAAGAATACAAATAAGCTATACAAATACCCATTTTTCATGTTGAAAACGGGAGCAGATTCGTTTCCGAAACGTCCAAAGCTAAGTGAAAATTCGATATGTTTTCTATATACCTTTATTCCTTGTCTCCAAACCTTTTTCAATACAAATTGTCATTGACAAGCTGGTCAATTTTTCTTTTAGGCTCTCAGATAGGAAATTCTTCAATAGCAGTGACATTTTGGGGCAAATCATCTGATTTTTCCTCACTACACGTATATTAAAATACTATACATAATTTTATTTTATTGAAACAAAGAGTGAGAATCCCAGAATATCTGGAATGATGAATTTACCACCTCCTAGATCCGATAATTGAGATAATTATTATGGATACATATAGGTCGCGTGCACGATGACCGACCCTGGAGGCAAAATATTGAAACACAACCTCACTCTTCTGTGAATTATTGAAAACAACCTCACTTTTTTTATTTGTTAACAGAGGAATCAAAGTATTGAAATAGTTTTTATATTTTGGCATACGAATCGTGTTTTTTGCGCTATTCATTAATTCAAGCATGCCTTCGCATTGTGCTGTTGTACAATGCACAAAAAATCCAGCGAGAGACGAAGGAATATGATTTTTCAGGTAAATAGTAATCTCACATAGTTTTCATTATGAAATGTTGTCATTCCGTATTGAAATTCCTTCTGCCACTTCTGCAATACAAGCTAATACTTCTAATAGATTGAAAATGTCTACAACACACATGATCTTATTTCGTCAGCATGTCAGACCAGTCCTCTCGTTTGATTGCATGAATCCAATCTTCTTGCATTATTTTAGAAATTTCACTAGTATTAACTATAAGCTCCAATTGCAGAATGAATCCCGGTGAGAAGTCAGAGGAATTACCAAATTTCAAAAATGAAAACTATATATATGTGTGACTATATAGTAGGTACTTACTTTCAAATCATAATGTACCAACCGGATTCCTTCGTCTTCCGCTGCCGTTTTTGTGCATTGTACAACAGCACAATGTGATGGCATGAGCGAATTAATGAATAGCCGAAAAATACGATTCATTTGCCAAAATAATTGTGAAAAACTATTTCAATCACTTGTAAACAAATAAGAAAAGTGAGGTTGTGTTTCAATGTTGTGCGTCCAGGGTCGGTCATCTGACAGTTCTTGCACGCAACCCATTCGATCTGTTATTGTAGGTTACAGGAATGGTCCAAATGAAACAGACCCTTACGGCCTTAGTCCGCAATACTGGCACGTGTTTGCCGCCAGACTTGCCTTTGTGGTGATATTTGAGGTAGTTTTAGAAATATGCCAACTTCAATCACTTTATGAATATTTGAAACGTTTTTCAGCATGTCGTATTCGCTTTGGTGGGAATCATGCAGTACGTCATTCCAGATGTTCCATCAGAGGTAAGAGTATCTAAATAGCTGGTGATATACAGTGCTATTCAATAAAAAAACGTACAAGTATTGAAAAGAGCTAGAGGTTTACGTCATTCAAGTTCTAGTTGTGTGAAACTGGCTCAGCCAATGGTTTGTGTTTTTGAAAACCTATGACAACTTTATCGTCAACCTTTGATTAACAATCTTTGCCGATACCACGGTTGTTTCAAGAATGCAACTACAAAAATACATCATCAAATTGAAAAGGAAGATACAAATATATGGTAGTGTGGAGAATATCAGATTATGATATATTTTTAGAACATTCAAGTTCACTCAAATGGACTGCTGATCGCCTAAATTGAAAATTCGGCAACATTAAATGAAAAGGGCAATGAAGTCCAATGAAATGGTAAAAATGCAAGTAGTCGGTTTCACTACGCTGATCAGAATTCTGAATCTTGAGACACCCTATATCTATTCCGATTAGATATCAGGATTTAGTGAATCAAGAGTTGGGATAGGGACATGTGAGCCGTTTTGGCCGATAATGAATAGTTTAGTCACAAAAAAATCCTAAAGTTGAAAAATCTCGATTTTGAACACCCGATATCTCTGTAATCATTTTCGACAGACCCCCCAATGTGATATATCGATGAAATGAGCTCTTCAGGGAGAATCTCAAAATGCAATAAAATACAGGGTATTTTGTTTCAAATAACAAAGTTGTTGCTACTTTTTGATAAAAGGGGCAACACTGCATTGCTGAAAATATATTTGATGGAGAGAGCGTATTTTGAAATATAAGCATGCATATTTTCATGGATTTCACCTCACTGATTCTCGATATAGAGATAGTGCGTAAGATCGTCGTGATATACCCTGTATAGTTTCCGAGTTATCCAATATCTCGGAGCGCTCCAGGAAATTTTGTTTGCAAACTTCAGATTCGGATTCAGCACCCCAAAAAACATATCGAACCATAGAGAAACCTACTGCTTGAATTTTTTCCACTAGAGAATTTTCATCGTTGCCGTTTTACTGACCTGATATGTTAACATCTCTCAGAGAGACCAATATCGTTACTGCGCAATTTGAGTGCGCATGTCAGCATACAGCTGAATAAGGCAGGAATTTTGAAGTCTTATCACTCAAATTCACTAAAGAAAAAACGAATCAGTGGATTTAGTAAATCAATAACCCAGCGAGCACAAACATCCCTGGGATGTTTTGAAAATGTTGGCATGAAGATGTTATTTTGAGACGTAATATGCACTGACCAAAGAGGTCTTTGAAGGATATTGAAGTATTGTTTTTGTTCTTCTGTGGCATTTCTTTGTTTGCCTACTGAGATGTATCCCTGGGATGTTTTGGGATGTTTTAGAAATGTAGGCATGTGGATATTTTTTTGAGGCGTAATATGCACTTCCCAAAGAGGTCAAGAATATTGAAAGTATTGTTTTTGTTCTTTTGTGCCCTTTCTTTGTTTGCCCCACCACAACGTCTCATGCTTACGTCACAATACGATGAATTCTGATTTGTTTTCGATTTTGTTCTTCTTGTTCGCAATTGGCATTCGCGTTTGCAGCGTGTCACGCTTACATCACGCTGCTAACGAACAGAAAGGAATTTGGTGAAGTTTATTGTGTTAGAAGACTTATTTAGTTTGTAATAATGACCATCAGATGCAAGATGTGTTGTTCGGTGCCTCAGTGTAATCATTATATAAAAGTACGAATTTATCAATACACAGCTTTTCCGCAGTTGCAAAATTATCCATTGTGGAGAACATTTCAAAAATTGGGAAACCTATTTCCAATTATATGTCTGTGTGTAGTAAGCACTAATCAGAAACCGATTAAGAAGGTAATCTCATATCAAGAAAATATTTTCATGATCAATCTATTTTTAATGCATTTTTTCATTCAAGGGAAATGGAATCCTAATGCAAAAGTTCATTTTGACAAAAGGCTTCAGAAAAGTACCTCGAAAATGATTTATTTACAGCGATTCAATGTGTGCAAGACGCGTTGAAAATGTTTTGTTGTGTCCATGAAAAGGCTTCAAAAAGAACTAGGGAGAAGGTAGTTTTGTGACATATCAAGGACATCTCGATAATTGCCGTCTGCGGCGGACATTGGCTATTCTATAATAGTTCTATTCATGTGTGAACAGAACATGGCAGTGGAGGTTCGTACTTTTAACATCTCTGAGATGTTTTTGTGCTCGCTGGGAATGAGGGCACTGAGGTAGTTAATGATCTCATCGTCGATAGATTATTCTTCCAAATTCATAGATTATTCCAAATTCTTGTAGTGAGGTCCATAGAATATACCAGATCCTCCATAAAAAGTACCTGAAGATCAGATGTATCATCCTCGAGTGAAGTCGGTCCACAAAGAGGTGTTTGTTCCAACTTATTCCAACGATTTAATCACTTCAAAATGTGATCTTTATTATCATGTATTGAAATTATAGATATGTAGGTATATAATTCGAGCAAAATTTCTTGTAGTTGAAAACTCAGATGCAAAGAGAATCTTTGCTAGCCAAAGAAGCTAAATACGAGCATGGACTGAAAAAGAGTGACTATGACTACGATGAACTCTTACAGGCCTTCAGAGAGAATAATAATGCTTCTAGGAGTGAGAATAGAATGGGTAGGTGGAAATTAAAATATGTTATAATTAAAAAGTTTCTAAAATTATAATTTTTCGACAAAAATGAATACCCTATTCATTTAATTTATGTACTTGTCTTCTATTATTCACTTCATTTATCGCCCCAATATCCTATCATTATCCTACAATTTCTACACTATGGTCAAACTGTGATATTTTCAATTTGAAGGATGAAAGATAGGCTAAAATCATCTCCATGATAATTCAATAGGGTTGACTTAGATGAGGGGGAACATGTTTTGAACTCAAATGATGTTCATCATCAGCCTGTGCATAATGAAGTCATTGTTAAAGCAGTCACGCGGATGGAAATAGTGAAACTGTAGTAACATAAACAGGTAGTTAAGTTGAGAAAAACCTATGGTCTAAGACTATTGGGGGCATTGATCTCTTAGATCGCAATGTATTTGCACCTTATGCATACAATACAATTATTATTGGGGGTCTACCCTTCACAATCTACTAGGGTATCGGAGGAAAAAATACCACGTATAGTCATCGAAGACCGAATCTTTATTAAATGGTAATGTTTCAGATGCCTGTTATTTTTCAAAAATCTTCAGAATAGCTTCATGTATTTTTTTGCTTATAAATATTCAGAATATTATTTACTTGACAAAGTAAAAAACCAGTGGCGGCTCGTGACTTTCATGACAGAGGAGGCTGAATGATAAGAGATTTATTGTGGAAAAGAACTCTCTACTCACCCAAATCGATAGCTTCAATGACATTCTGTTTACCAGTTAACCTGAACTTAATACTTGAAGAGATGTGTTCCTGTGATTTGCAGTGTCTATCCAATCCGCGAGACAAATTTTTCAAATCATTATATCCTAATCGCCCCCAACATGATGACTTATCGGTTGAAAATAATACGCAGTACCAACGAAATAGCTTATTCCTTACCTCAGATGCCGTCAACCAGATATATTTTTTATAATTATCAAAATTGAACGAACGATTTTGTTTGTTACCTGTTACAATCAGATTTTTTAATTCCGGTGTCGGACGTTCATTTTTCACAATCAATTTATCTTCATAAGACAAAGCACTGAATGGGTTCACCAAAAAGTATTCCACTAAATCGCAATCGTTTAAAATACTCATTTTTCAGGAATTTCCCCTAACCATTAACCTAACATAAACATAAACAATGCACTCGCGTTTGTTCGCAATTCGCGAAGCGACACGACAAACACGTGCTATTCGGGCGTATTCGGGCATTCGCATTGCGCGCGTAGGTTGCGCGATGTGAAGGAGTCTAGCCTCCTATAGATGTTGCCAAGTTGAATATTTTACGCGTGATTTGCAGACTTCAACGTGTGATGCGTGGGCAAGCACTGTTGCCAATTCAAAAATATTTAACTAAAAACAGGGAATAAAATCAAAATCCATGTATTTTGGTGTCCTGTCAATGAGAAAGAATGAATAATATTAGTTTAAGGAAAATCTCTGAGGAGGCTCAGCCTCCGTTGCCTCCTCTGAGAAGCCGCCACTGTAAAAAACTACACTACCAATACTACCATGGAAATGGTTTTCGGCATTCCTTTCTCGTTACTTATACCCAATGTCGTTCTAGATGACAACCTAGGTAGGTAGTAAGGTTTTTATTTGGATCGACAATGGTTATAACTGATACCTACTAGTTCACTCATAATAATTGGAGTTATTATAGAATTTGCTGAAGAATCAGTGTTCTAATAGTTCTTCTGAATATTTTTCCAGCAATAAGAGGTTCTTGGGCCAGGAGATTGAGCAGACTATCAGATGGACTGGACGCTCATGTTGAGGTGACTAGCCGGAAGAAAAACTCGAAGGAAACAACAGTTTGGGAAGACTCTTACTGACATTGACTTTCACAATATCAATTGAATTATACGTATATCAAATTTGTTTTTCATTGTGTTGAAATATATCATTATCATGTGGATGATTCTGGGCGATCTCACTTCTTTGAAAAATCTTGAAACATTTCAGATTACCGAGCATATACATATCAGGGCATGAAATTACAATTCATCTTAAAGCTCGAGTTTTGTATCACACTTCTTCTACAACTACATACCAAACTATCTGTTAGGACAGAGAACAGAGAAATTGCGGATATTTTTGATCATCAAGCTAGGCAAGAATACATTATTGTGAATAGTAATTAGTCCTAGGTAGTTTCTTCGAATAGTTGAATATTTCATCCATTCAGTTTATGACTGAATAATGGCAATTTCTACTTCATATTCATGGTGAATTCTACTTGCAACAATATTACCCTTCCTCCCCAATCATTTCAAAAATTCGTAGGCGTGGATAAACAAACATGCTCCATCCCGTCTAGAATATTTTCATCAATACAATGTTGCCGCTAATATTAGAAAGTAAAAGCTACATTGTTATTCCAAATGGAACACCCCGTATATTATGTGATTTTTGGAATGTTCATTTATAACTTCTACTGATAATTCTCGATACCTATCTGTGACAGCTTTCGCTTAAAAAAATATTTTTTCTCCAATCGGCAGGGATAGTGGCTTTCTCCTGCCGCTCAACAGGCAGAAAAGGTGTACTTTTACTGCCTAGACAGAAAAAGTTTCAAGAAATTCTAATGAAATTAGTAATCAAAATTGACACTGACATTGGATGAACACAAAATGATGGAGTTTTCAATAAAATAATGACACAAAATTGGTTTAATATCATTTGGAGAAAAAATTCTATGTTTTAAACGACAGCAACGCTACGCTCGGCTATGAACTATCAGCCCCGGCAGTCAATCTACTACTTTTCTGCCTAGTAAAACAAATGACTATTCTGTGACGGGAAGAAGTTTGAAATTTCATATCTATTGACAGGTTATAAAATGTTGGATAATAATATATACCATTGATAGCTTTTGTTGTGCTAGTTTTGAAAAATAAGCCAATAACACCGTCTTCGAGAAAGAACTACGAGTATCCGTTTATTTCCCATTCCACTTCGCGATTACGTAATTCACTAAACAACTACTAATAAGTTCGCAATTTTTCGAAATCAAATCACATAATTAGATTGATAGATATTTGATAACTTCAATTCGATTTCGATCCAATTCAATAACATTCATTGTATCTGAAGAGGAATCATCATTACAAGAAAATTGGTTCGAACAAATACATAAATTATTAATATAACAGTGTTCAGTTTAAACATACACTGAGAAAAAGAGAAAACAGAAATATGTTCAATTTCATGTGATAGAGAAAACAACAAATAGTATGGCATCAGATAATATTTAGGATGCCATCAAGATATAATTTGAATTGAAGTTCTACAGTAAGAGCTAAGAAGGAGAAACATAAGAGGCATGCGGCTCATTCATTGATGACGGAAGATCGTAATTTCAGGATATTTATCACAATCGTAGCTAATTGTTCCAATGATACATATAAGAATATCTATCAGGTCGTCAATGACTCGAAATTCAACGAATACATTCATCAGTGAAAAATTATTAGCTACAGCATGAAATCATACAAAATCCGTCCACTTTTATTCAGTGTTTCATCAAAACTCAGCATATTTGGAAACAAAACAAAAGTTTCAAGTAGTTGATCAGGAATCGCGCCAATTTCACCAACTCTGCGATTGTAATCTCCAAGTATAATAATAATATAATCTCTAAAGTTTCGTGAATGTTGTTAGAAGTAATTTGGAAGATTTCTAGAATATCCTGACGGTCAATGGATGTATTCAATAAATAACTATTGTGAACTGTTTGTGCATCATCTTTATTCCTTTTATTTCATTTGTGTTGACTGATGATTCTTCAATATTTCATTGCATTCATTAAAAGGGTTATTACGTCGCTTATTACGGAACAGTGATTTATTAGTTTTAACAACATCTAAGACAAACTGCAAGACATACCTGTTCTTCTTAGAATAAGTGAGTGGAGGTCTATCTACTCTAATAATGGGTAACTTATCTCTGATAATAGGTAGCACCTACGTAAAATCGTGAATGCTATTATTGTTATCGTCGAGATTATTATAGTTATGTGACTATAGTTTTCGCCCTGTGTCCTCTATGTCACGTCTCTGACCAAACATTACTCAATCTATATATCTACTTCATCTTGTATTAGAACAATAAGAGTGTTCTGAGTTCCTGGAGTTAGTTTCATTGTTCCTAGAACGTGTCCAATCACATCCAAACTGAATTGAATAATCATTTACGATTTTATGATTTTGAAAATGAAGCGTAGAATTGCAATGCCACTAGGACGTAAGTGACAACAGTTCCAAATATCTGAAACAAAAAACACCACAAATTGAATTCATTAGAAATATTCATCGAATGACAGAAACAAATCAGATAATTTGTCCCAGTATATCATCTTTACTAAATCTATATATTATCTTTACTAAACTCAGACTCACCGATGAGAACAAGTTTGTTCCGACAGTGAAAATATTAGAAGCCCTCAATTCTGGTCTTTTCAAAGTTAATGTAGTAATCAACGTTTCTACCTGTAAATGAAAAACCATAACGACATCGTTTTCTGATATTCATAAATAATCTAACCTGTGCTGCTTCCAATTGGGTTAATTTACTTATTGGATATTTGAACAAGAACGATATCAGATCTTCGCTCTACAACAAATAAGGATAATCACGTTATACAGAGTGTATGCGATTGGGAACCGCAAAAACTTCGTTTTTATCTTGGAATTGGTTGACTTGGCGTTGACTGAATGATGGCAGAATTTGAAAAATGGAAATTTGTACAAAAATTTGTCTCAATATCTAATTATGTGATTTCAGCATATCTTAAATACATACACCGAGAGAAAAATCCTCGGAAAAATCATTAGCTGTTATATAAAGCTGTTTATACTATATGAGATTCCTGTATTTATGTTTTTCTTATGCTCAAGATCAACTCAAGATCATCATTTCAAACAAAAAGTGTAACTGTAACGATGCACTCTGATGAAAATGAATAAATTCTCACATCAAGATATAATATAGTGCTCAAATGATCAGGTTTGTCAATATTTTTCGATGTTTTCCAGAGTTTGAAAGTTACTAATGTCAATGACAAGTTGACTTGATCCAGATGGTGAGAAATCAAGAATCCATATTCGCGATTTCTTTAGAAAAAATCCACGTACGCTACTAGAACTGGCATCCTCTTTAAAATAGATCTGTATCAAGTTTCATGGAGAAATATTCAACTTTAACGATTCTACAGTGTGTCTCATTTCAAACGCCTCCGCTCTATATTTCAGCTATTAGTCGTGCGATTCGTACCAAATTTGGACCAGTATGAATTTCCATCAATATTATCAAATTTTCAGAGACGAACATCATTATGGATATTGCGGTGGTTTTTTATTGGAATTAAAAAGAGGTCGATTTTTATGACATCATATTATAGGATTTTCTTTTGAAAGACAGCTAACTTCATATTATAGTTCCTATATGCTTTCAAACCTCTATATGCGAAAAATCACCTGCTCATTCCAAATAACCAGGATTGGTTCAATTTTTTTTCAATTTCAGCCTCGAAAAAAAGGTGAATTCAAATTAACTGCGAGTTTTGGAATCTTCAATAGCTCCGGTAGGTAGAACATCGTAATGTGAAAGAAAAAACAAGTAATATTATTTCATGTGTAGTAAATAATTATCAAGCTCTCAGAAATGATTTCCAGAAGTGCCTGTTTTCTTGAAATACTTTATAATGATAAAAGCTCGAATAGAAGGTGATTATCAATCTCGAACATTAACGCTTGCTTTGCTCGCATGTTGAACTATCTCTATCATGAATCAGCTTCATTCATATACTATATAGTTGGATGAATAACTATTGATATGTAACTAGTGGTGGAGGTTGAGAGAAAGTTTTGTAGTTTTAATCCAATATGGCGACTGTTTGTTTACATCTTGTATGCCAAAATGGTGGTCATATGAACAGTATAATGTCAAAACAAGATATCATTCACAGGGTGAGTCGAAAATGTGTACCCAAGTTTTCCAGAGATGAATGAACTGATAATGGCCAAGAATGGGTATCGAGGAAGATATTCAATTATATTAGTATCTGTATCAATCAATAGATCAAGTATAGGATTTGTGGGGATGCAGTTAATATGAGACTCAAAAGAAAACTCCTACCACTTCATCTATCAACATGTTGATGATATTGGATATCCTATGGATTTTTATAACATCTCTATATTAAAAACCGATCAAAATACTTTCGAAAGACGTTGTTCAGAAATGATTTATATAAAAAATTGAGAAACTCAATGAACAAGAAAATCAATATTCGAAATTCAAATGTAGTTCTTTCAAATATTCCAGAAATTGAGGAGTAAATGCAAGATAGACATGATATATCAAACAACTCAACTTCATCAACCGTTTACATATATATTCATATAAATATATTTATATATTTCTCAACCCCATGTATTTTTTCATGTTATACATATTGTAATTTGGAAAAAGTTGTATTTGGTTTGAATCCATCAATTTATGATTTTTTTATAATTTCATACAGTTCTGATTTGCTTTTCTACAATCTCATCTAAGGTAAGTAATTCGAAATCCCCATTTTAGGGACTCGTAGTTTTTTCAGAGGCAGTTTTTTTCGTCAGATCGCCAGGCTCTCGTGTAATTATAATTGAAAATATAACTCACCAAAGTCAATATCCTTTCCGTGCACTCACAGAAAATAAGAAAAATCAGTAAGAATAAGTAATGCCTACACGAGAGATCTGCCAACAAGGCCAAGTCATCTCGATTACCGAAACGAACGGCACTGAGGAGAAGGCACCATACAACCCCTAGAGAAGACATACCGAGGAAGATAATTATATAAAAAATTAAATTTGCGAATGAAACCATATGTTGTTCATAGTTCCTAGATACTCTGAAATAAAATATCTGTAGAT